GCACTACTCTCTCCCTCCCAATGCTCCCTAATGAGATCCAACGGCCCCCGGACCCTTCTCCCAAACAATAGTTCAAAGGGGGAAAAACCCGTAGACTCTTGGGGCACCTCTCTGTATGCGAACAACAGATGGGGAAGGAATCGTTCCCAGTCCTTATGGGTCTCTCCGAATGTTCGAAGCATCTGTTTTAGGGTACCGTTGAATCTCTCACATAATCCATTGGATTGCGGGTGGTACGCGGAGTTAATGATCGGCTTTATGCCACATATCCTCCATAACTGCTGAGTAACCTCAGCCGTGAATTGGGTCCCCCTATCTGAGACCATTTCCTGTGGGAACCCTACTCGGGAGAAGATTTTCATCAAGGCTTCGGCTACGGTCTCCGCGTGGATATTAGTTAGGGCAATCGCCTCGGGGTACCGGGTGGCGTAGTCCACCACGGTCAGGATATACCGTTTCCCAGAGGGGCTGGGCTTTGGTAGTGGTCCTACTATATCTACTGCTACCCGGCTGAACGGTTCCTCAATTATGGGGAGGGGACATAGTTTTGCCTTATGGCGATCCCCCCTTTTGCCTACCCTCTGGCACACATCACAGGAGGTACAATATTGCCTTACGTCTTTGGAAATCCCGGGCCAAAAGAATGCGTGCGTTAAGCGATATCGGGTCCGGGTCATCCCTAGATGGCCGGACAGAGGGATGTCGTGGGCGATTCTTAGTAACTCCTGCCTATATTTCTGGGGTACTACTAGCTGCTTGGTTTGGAGCGTCACAGAGCTGCCTATGGCCCGTTCCGCCACCCGGTACAGTAACTTCTTTTCCCATACGTACCGTTCTCCCTCCCGCCCCACCTGGTCCGTGTCTACCCTATCTCGGTACACCTGCAGTGTGGGGTCTGTCTGAACCTCAGCTTCAAATGTGGTCGGGGTGTCCCAAGTCATGTCGGTCAAGGGGGGGTCATGGTGTCTTACCTGAGCCTCAGAGTGTGCGGGGAATGCCGTGGTGCGAGCCTGTTGCCGGGTGGTTACCGGATGCGCCTCTTGGGAAGGGGCCTGGGGAAGAAACGCAGAAGTCATCGGGCCCAAGTCATTCCCCAAAACAACATCGGCCGGTAGTTTCTTCATTATGGCCACCTCTACAACCCCCTCCCCAGCACCCCAGTTCAAATGCACTTTGGCCGTGGGTAACCGGTACATAGCTCCCCCTGCTACCCGGACTGCCACTGATCCGCCAGTGTGGGCCGTATCTGGAATTAAATGAGGGGCCACTAAGGTCAAGGTGGCTCCCGAGTCCCGCAGCCCCTGCACTTCTTTCCCTCCCACAAATACAACTTGGCGATGATGCTGCCGGTTGTCCGTGGCTTGCACCGACATCACCTCGTTCAGAACCCCCAATGGTTCTTCGGTTGATAGACTTGTCAGCTCCGAGTGGTCCGGTTCGGTGTGGTAGAAATGGGCCACTGCCCTTGGCGCGGAGTTTTGCCGTACTTGGTTCCACGCCTGCCTGCTCCGATTCTGGGTGCACTCCCGGGACATATGCCCCCACTGCCGGCAGGTATGGCATTGTATGTTGGCCCTGCCATTGTAGCGTGATGGCGGTGGGGGGTTTCCTGATGGTGGCCGGAATGGAGTAGCGTTGGCGGGTGTGGAGATGGTTGGGTGGTGTGGTACAGCTGGTCTCAGGGGAGCCCTGTTGGGAAGCCCATGATGCCTTCGGGCGTCAAAATGCTGATCCGCCAACCGGGCGGCTTCGGTTAGGGTGAGGGGTTTCCTGTCCCTTACCCATTCTTGTGCCTCAGGTGACAGTCCGTTAAAAAATTGTTCCAGCAAGATGAGCTGGCGCAGTTCCTCCATTGTGGTAGCTTGGCTCGCCTGAATCCATCCTTGCGACGCTTGGTCGAGCTTATGTGCCCACTCAGCGTGGGAATCTTTCTCGGGCTTCCTCAATCCTCGAAATTTACGCCGGTATGCCTCCGGGGTTATGGCATACCTCTCCAGAATTGCCCTCTTAACTTTAAAATAGTCCTTGCTATCTTCTCTGGGCACAGCGCGATACGCCTCGGCTGCTCGTCCTGCCAACTTGCCTGCCAGTAGGGGTACCCACATAGCCTGTTCTAGATCATGTAGGTCGCACAACCGTTCAAAATCCTGCAGGTATCCATCAATCTCGTCTTTCTCCTCGCAGAATGCTTTAAATGCCTGGTAAGGTATTTTCTGCTTCACTGGAGCGCAGAATGAATTGGCGATGGATTCTGCCCTGGATGGTGACCTCTGGTGTTGCTGTGCCATAATATAATCCTGGACGTCCGCCATCAGTATAGTTAAGATGTCCAGGGTTACTGGCTGTGGTACAAATTCCAGCCGGGTTCTCAGTTCCCTCTGGTATGGTGTTTCCTCTCTGGCAGGTGGGGGTGGACTGCTGTGTGCTTGGTCGTCCTCCATTAGCTCTGCAATCAGTACTGCCTTTTTGTTGCTAGCGATTTTCCCTCTAGCCTCCAGCAGCTCCTTTAGCGCCTGTCTCTTTAACGCCGTGTAATCAGTCCCCATTCACTGATCGCTTTCGTCTGCTTGTTTCATACGAATTGCCTTTCCGTTCGGTTGTTCCTTTCATTCGAATGCGCTGTATTCGGCTGTAGAGTTGGATCCCGTCGCTTGCCACCAATTGTAGCGGAACGCCAATATAAAATCCACGAATTCCGCTGGTCCAGAACGAATCCACAGTCAAGCGCTGAAAACACCAAGGCAATATCCCCAACCTCCCAATAACCGGACGAGACACAGTTTTGGGAGTCAACTGGCAATCCTTTATTCAGCACGACAATTTATACAAGTCCCCATGCAAGGGGTCTCCTGAGTCCCTTCCCAGGGGTATTCCCAGAGGGGACTACATGGGGGACTTACAGTATAACATATTTCTCCCATCAGGCACCGCTGCACGAGAGGGATCATCCTCCCAGAATGCACCGTTAAGGGGATTATCCCCTCGTGCAGCAGAACCGGCAATTCATATAAAAATACATAACTTTTAAAATACACGGTGGATTTACACGAATGGACGTTCGGTAGATAGCTGGGGTCTGGGCGCATCATTCGTGAGATTGCCGCTCAGATCCCAGCCAAATTAACCGAACGCCGCACAGAAAACACATTTCTTACAAAACCCACAAAAGGAACCGATTGCTTTGGGTGAACTTGGTCCTGAAACTCCCGAACGTCTGGGAGGCTCAGCGGTGTTCGTGCCGTCGAATAACTATTGGTAGTAGTATGCGTTCGACGACACGAACCCGCTGACGAACAAGGGATCCAAGATGGCCGACCGCCGCATGGTCGGTAGTCGAACGACGGCCACCCAGGAGAGCCTCTAATAACCGATTGCAACAATGTTGCAATCGGTTAACTAGCGCCACACGCCTCTAAGTGTGTGGGCTATTAGGGGGTATCGCGTTCGGTTCACGAACGGCTTTCTAAAGTGCCGTTCGTGAAACGAAAGAAAATCCCCATACAAAACCGCCAATTGCATTCGGCGGAAACAGTATTACAGGCAACACGGAAAATACCTTAACATCTACATATGTGTACAGCGCATATCTCGCCCGACCTAGTGGCAACCCTTAAAGGCACAGTCTCTGGTTATTGTCCAAGTGGCTAGGTTTGCCACATAATAACTACTGCTTGTGTCTTCTATGTCTCACATTATGTGTTATTTTAAATTGTGGTATATAGCCTGAATCAGACATCATGGACAAAAGGTTTTTACCTGTGTTACTAAGGGCTCTTGGAGACTGACCGGTCTAAAGGTTTGCCATGCCTTTAAAACATGGTATAGTATAATTTTTTTTTAAGTCTCTGAGAGTTCTGAAAGATTCAGGTGAAACCATGTCTGTGTAATCTGGTCCAGATGTTTGTTCAATTTCTATAGGATTTAAATTGATGCAGCATCATCTCAGATTAGTTAATGGAAGTTTTAGACAAATAGTTGAGTTATGAGCGCGCTATATAAATGGATCCTTTCTTTAAATATAATACTATAGTAGATTAAAGTAATGAAGTTAATTAAGAAAATGTATACATAAGAATCCCTAAAATAAATCTAAACTAAAATTGGTATACCTTCCAATAATATGTTCTGAATACAGCTGTTAACTGTTTATTCTGTGTAAATGGTGATTGTGATAATGTGTGATAAGTGTGCAGTTTAACTTGAAAGTGGTTTAATTTATATGTTGCTGTATTGTTTTAAATTATATGTGAATCAGTTTGTCACAGTCTAGTGATACTGATAAGAATGACAGCCAAATAACCTAGCAAATAACTGTTTTATTAGTTGTTGAATACTAGCGTTTTGGCCAAGAATAGTTGGAGATTTGGAGGTGTTAGTTTAAGATTGCTTTTATATTGTGTGTATCCGTGTTTCCTAGGAGGGAGACAGAGTGTGTAGTTGTGTGCCCATAAATGTGATTTCTGTATTGGCATATCTGCTGGGTACCCATTATGTGTTTCTACAAAGATATTGTTTTGTGAGATGACGTGTAATATTACATTGGATGCTGAGTATGAGTTATATGGTTTGAAATGAATTGGTGATTATGAGCTTAGTACTTCAGTAAGATGTGCTAATATTTGGAACAAGGTGGAAGCTGAAATGTTGGGATTATGGAAGAATAAGCAGTCTATATTCACTGCTTTGGCATATAAGCAAGATGCAAAGGAAGAGATTGGTAATATGATTTTTGTAAATAAATTTTACAAGTGTTGGAAGGATGAGGCAGGTTTGATGTCTGGAGATGATATAGATCTCTTTAAAATACAGTCATGCCTTGGTAATATGTTGCCACAGTATTATTTGCTTGTGAAACAATTGATTTCAGACTGGGCCAATTTGGATAGCTCAGATTTTCTTACCAAGGTTATAGAAAAGGAAAATGCAGGTTGTTTTGAATTAAGAAAAGATTTAGGAAAGTAAGGTTGCTTATTATGCTCAGGGATTGCCACCTACACAGGCTGAGAGCGAGGATGGGATGGAGCACATAAAGCCCGTGGAAGGGGTGGTCAAAGAGGGGCAAGGGGATGGAGACAGGGAAATCAGGGTTATAGGGGCAGGGGTAACCAAGGAGGAATAGACAGGAACACTTGTTTCAACTGTGGACAATATGGCCACTGGAGGAATGAGTGTCCCCACCCCAGGAAACCCCATCAAACCCCACACACCCCACCAACCCCACAATTCTCAAAATATGCCCTGTAGGCAAGAACAACACCAGACCCACTCCCAACACCACTGGCCAGCATATCGCTTAGTTCAGGACTTTAGAGCCCTGAATAGTTTAATTGTGCCCATTTCACCCATTGTCCCTGATGTGACATCCCTCATTACAGCCATTCCACATGATGCCACTTGCTTCACTGTCATTGATTTAAGTAATGCATTTTTTTCTATACCTATTGATCAAGAGACACAGCTACTTATGGTTTTTACTTTTTGAAGGCTGTCAGTTTACCTGGACACGCTTACCCAAGGCTATGTGGATTCCCCAGCTGTTTATTCGTTGGTACTCCAACATACTCTAAAAAACATGGACCACCGGTCATGGTTCCGTCCTTTTTGCAAAATGTTGATGATTTGTTGTTATGTAGCCCTAGCTCTGAGGCAAGCACTGTGGATACTGTCAGCAACTGTAGGTCACAAGGTTGTTAAACACAAAATGCAATTGTGTAAATCAAAGGTTGAATACTTAGGTTTTGTTCTGGCTTTAGGCACCAGACAATTGAGTCCAAAATGTATTGAGGTCATTCAGAGGATTCCTACACCCACTACTCGGAAGGAGTTGCTCACCTTCCTCGGCATGATTAATTACTGCCGCCAATGGATCCCTGAATGCTCCCATTATGACTCAATCCTAAGGGAGGCTGTACGTTCTGACAGCCCTGAAAATGTCTGCTGGTCACCAGACATGCTAGCTGCATATATTGCCCTTACAGTTGTTATTGTGCAAGCCCAGGCTTTAGGACTACCTGTGTATTGTAAACCATTTCATTTGTATGCTCGGGACAACTGTAAAACCATGGCCGCGGTCTGTGCACAAGAGCAAGGAGGCGGTATGCGTCCCATAGCATTCTTTTCCAAAGTAGTTCGAGCTCCGGTACAGGGTATGCCGGCGTGTCTCAGAGCATTGATAGCATGTGCAATGGCTGTTGAAACTGCTACTACTATCACACTAGGGCATCCTACAATACTTCATGCCAGTCACCAGGTCACTCAGCTGATGACAAATCTCACCACACAACACATGACAGCCCAGCGCTTCAGTGGTTATGAGATTCTTTTTTTTTAAATACCCAGAATCTGTCTTTTGGATTAAACAAGGTTTAGAGAAAGATCAAAATGATCTGTTCTCTAAAGAGGGGAGAATAGGCATACTTGGAGAATAGGCATACTTGAAGCAAGCTGATTTATTTTCATCAGTCAGGCACATAGCAAGCACCATTCAATTCTTCATGAATTCATTTTATATTAGGAATCTCAGGCAGCATGTACAGTCTTTTGTAAGATCGTGTGAACGCTGCTCTTTTTACACACTTACAGATTGATTTTATTCATGTATCCAAAATTGGTAAGAAACAGCAATACTTACTGGTCATAGTTGATCAGTTTAGTAGATGGCATGAGGCCTTTGTGACATCTAGGGAAGATGCTAGTGAAGATTATTGTTACTGAAATTATTCCCAGGTATGGCTGCCCTCTGCAGATTGGCTCTGATAATCGCCCAGTATTTGCAAGTGGGGTTGCCCAGGAACTTGCTAAATTCTTGCAAGTTACCTGGCAGTTTCATATACCCTATCATCCACAGAATACAGGGGTAGTTGAAAGGATGAATAGGACTATTAAGGAAAAGCCCAGAATTTACCCAGGAACATGGGTAAATTGGACTAGATATCTACCAGCTATTTTAGCTGAGATAAGAATGAATCCCCACAAGGTGACTAAATTATCTCCATCTGAGATTTTTGATGGGATGACCTTTTCCCACACCCTGGGCCAGGGAACCGCTTGTTATAATGTCTGGGGATTTACAGCTAATACAAGAACAATATGTACAGGAGTTGTTGATAAAACTGAATGGTATGTATGACAATGTTTCTTCGCAGTTTTCCCTTACCTTCACAGGAACCTACTTATTCATACCAGCCCGGTGACAAGGTGTATATCCGTCAGCTGAACAGGACCAAGAAAGGAGGATACCCTTTTGGACCACCTGCTACTGTGATTGCTGTAACCAGAACCGCTGTCCTCACAGATTCCCATGACATCTGGATTCACGCATCCCGAGTGAAGCTGTGTCCAAAGAGGGGAACCAAGGAAGACAACACCACTCCTCGCTCGGAAACAGAAGAATTTCTCCTCAGCGAAGCATCATGGCTTTTACACCATATCGTAGATTGAGAGGATCATACGTACCTGAGACCAAGATTATGTTGTGCGCTATGCTTTCTGGAGTTGTTATACTCCCTCTGATATTGTTCCTTGAATGCCATTATGAGTACAAGTCAATGGCAAGTTCTGGAAAAAGACTCTGACATGATGAACAATTCTTCAATACCCCCAGCCCAATTAGGCCTTAGCCCCTCATCTAGCATTCGTCACACACGCCCCCTCAAGAACCTTTCTCCACCACCTTTCTATCAGCATGCAATATGCAATCATTCATTCACTGAACGCATTTGGATGAATTGGACAAATAGTAACCCTTATAAGTACCAGTTACCCATATGAAATGTGTCTACAGCTAATGAAACCGATGCATTATGTTTGTTTAAAGGTTCACAGAAAATTGTTAGATCTTATAACGCAGAAATGTGCACAGTTAAGGTTGCATATCAATGTAAATAGACAGGCCTTATTACTTTTAATAATGATTATATAATTGGTATCATTAATTGGAGAAGGGGACAAATGTTAGTCATTATGAACGACACTGCAATTGAGAACTATACACTACCTTATATTTTTACACCTTATTACTGTCCTTTATCCACTACCATAGAACCAAAAGTCAAACACGACACACACACACACCTATTTCGTCCACATGTATTAATACAACTGCCTTCTTACAAGCTGTACATGTGTCATTAAAAATCACTACTCCTGTTGTAACATTATGTAATACAACAAACAAAGGCAGAAAAGGGAATGGTATGACACACTGTTAGGAGGTGCTGGAACCACTATGGGTATACTAAATAGTTATAGATATGGAGACCCTCAAGAATAAGTTAAACACAGCCAGCATGCATATAGGGACTGGTTTTCATGCTACTGCAAATTGGGCTCCAATTGTTGTTAAATCACAGGTTAGAGGATTGGATTTAGATAAATCAATGTATAATTATTTAGATAATTTAACTGTTGCAACTATGAAATTCACTAGAGGTCTAAGTAACTGGAGTACTTGTGCCATCAGGTATTTATGGATACAACAACAAGGATTGGCATTAGAAAACACACTAATGATTCCTAAACTAGAGAAGATTAGAGGAATGTGTAACCTCACAGATAATGATTGGTTACTTCTAAAACCCCAATCCAGTAAATGCAATGGATGGTTAACTGGTAATGTTTCACATTTTTCATGCTCATGCTATTTTACATTATATCATACAACATCAAAGGATGTTAAATTAGCTTGTCAATTTAACACATTACCAGTACCAGTTTATTATCTTTTTGCCAAGAATTTAACCTGGTGGGCACCCACATACACAGGGGCAGGGGCGTACCTAGAGCATTTGGCACCCGGGGCGGATCCTGTGCTTGGCACCCCCCCGCCCCAAAAAATGTAAAAGGTTTTCTTTTATTTTTACAATTTGTAAACTTTGCAAAACCGCTGTCAGCCCCTCCTACAAAACCCTTGTCCTGCCCTGCCCCTCCTACAAAACCTCTGTCCTGCCCCTTCTACAAATCCTGTACTGCCCCATCTACAAAACCCCCGCAACCCCCTTCCACAAATCCCCTGCTTATCCCCCCTTATAAAGACTCCTGTCCCAATACAAAACCCCCACCACCTTCTACAAAATCCCTGCAGCCCCACACATACATTTACAGGCAGACAGTCACACACTCAGTTACAGACAGTCACACACTCAATTACAGACAGTCACACACTCAGTTACAGACAGACAGTCACACACTCAGTTACAGGCAGACAGTCACACACAGTCACAGGAAGACAGTCACACATACACATTTCCTCCGTGCGGCCAGTTTATCAGCTGTTTGCTTGAGTGAACTGTACTGCACGGCACCCTAACTACCATGGGACACTGTGCGGCCACAGCTCACACAGCCCCCTCCAGCCACGGCCGGTACAAGGATTTTTGCCGCCCAAGGCAAAAGTAAAGTTTGCCGCCCCCCCATGTGACATCACAATGCCCCAGCCATATGATTTGCCATGTTAACTAAAGCCAGTGCTGCAGTGCCGCCGTGTTTACATTAAAAGGCCTGCAGGGACAGGCTATAGACACCAGAACCACTACATTAAGCTGAAGTGGTTCTGGGGACTATAGTGTTTCTTTAATGTGAGGTAAATTAGAGCTTAGTGCCACGAATAATATACTAGATTGCCTACTTACAACCAGATGAGGATGATGATGGGCTCTAGCTGCAGTCTGGCTCCACTGGTCTGGTGCAGAACAGGCTCTCTGGAGGCGGTTTGTAACTGTGGTCACAAAAATCAATGTTCTGGGAGAACGGGAAGTGGCTCCATTTTTTGGGGGTCCTTTACACAGCTCAAGGTCTGGGTCCCAGGGTCCACCTTCATGTTCCACCAATGAGTTTGTTCACAGGGGTGGAGTGTGTGTGTGGGGGATGTCCTGATGTGTGTAAGGAATGCATTGTGTGAATCTGTGTTTGTATGTGTAAGGGATGCAAGGTGTGTTTGTGTATGTATAGGATGCA